GGCTACGTACCTTTCCACAACCAGAGGCCGTGAGGCAGGAGCCAGGCTGCCATCGCAGGTAGGACTTCACCTCCCTGCCTGGGGTTGGGAGAGTGGGTCCCTGGCCGTGCATGTCCCTGGGCAGCAGTGCTGTGGGGCTGTCCCACAGTGCCTGGGAGCGCTGGGTGAGAGGGCTGTGTCCCAGAGCCTCCCTGCCTCCTGGTCGTTGCAGCATTCCCTGGGGTAGTCCCAAGCTTTTCCTGCAAAAGTCCTCCCCGTGCCTCTGGGGTGTTGGGGGCTTTCCCTGGGCTCTGGTTTTGATTCCACTCTGTGCTGGCTTCGATTTGTGTTTCCTTCCCCTGCCTGCTGTCCTTGGCCTGGGACTGGGCATGTGGCCTGGAGCAAAGGCAGCTCGGGGCTGGGGCTGGAGCCTGTGTGCTCCCTGCACCACTTCCCCTTGCTGCCTCATACCCACTCTTCAGCAGCAACAGAAATAGAAGCCAAAAACAGTGGTGGTGGGGAATTCCTCTGTTCTTTCTTCTTTTTAATTTTTTTGTTAAAAAAAAAAAAAGCCCCTGAACATGCTAGATTTCTGCTGAAATGGTAATAGTGTGGTTTCTGTTTCGAGAAGAGCTTCTGCATCTGCTCCCAACAGCTGTGTTTCTCTTGCTGGCCCACCCTGGCCATGGGCAGCAGGAGCAAGTGCCTGGGGCTGGCTGCCACCCTCAAGCTGCTGCACTGGCACAACCTCACCTTACTTCGGATGGAGGAATAGGGAGCAGCTGCCTTATCCCAGAACTTCCTCAGCGTGCATCCTGGAGAGACAAGCTGCCTTCCCCATGGCTCAGAGACACCCCAGCCCTTGCGACTGGCCAGCTGCACAGCCAAGAGACCTTGGGCCAGGCTCTTGGTGAAACAAGGCAGTGGAAGTGCAGGCAAGAAGCTAAAAAGGATGACAATGAACCACAGAACTGGATGACTGGCTTTGTGCAACAGAGGAAAATGCTGTAAGGAAATGAGACTGCTTCAGTCTTCCCTCGTCAATCAAATATCTGGAGCAATGTGGAAATTTGTCCTCCATTCTGATGGTGCAAGCAAACACCTCGGAAAACCCCTGTGGGCTTTTTTCTGCCAGCTGCCTTCAATCCTAGCTGAGCAGGCAGCTGTGGAAGGGGCTGGAGCACAAGTGCAGCCCTGGTGAAGTTGCCACAGCCCTTGGAGAGGGGCCACTGTCTGGCAGGTTGGGGCTGGTGGACCATGGGGCTTTGGGACTGTTTCTTTGTGAACTCGGAAGGAAAGCAAAGGAGAACTCGGGAGGTCACGCAGATGTGTGCAGGGAAACCAGTGAGGACAGAGTGGAGAGCCCCAGTGGCACCCCAGCTTGCGCAGGAGCTGGTGGCTGGCCATAAGCATCCTCCCTTCTTCTGCAGGCTGCTGTGCGGCTTCTCGCAGGGTTTGTGGAGCACTGGGAGCTCTGTGGCCCTGTTCTTGGAAGTGCATTGGAAGCATTTGCATAGGCTAGTGCTGGGGAGGAAAGGTGTTTGTACAGGTGCAGCCGAGG